TTAAGAGCAGGTTAGATAAATGTCTATCAGGGATGGTCTAGACAGTATTTGGTCCTGGCATGCGGGCAGGGGGGTGGACTCGATGACCTCTCGAGGGCCCTTCCAGTCCTATAATCTATGAATCTATGAATCTACAGAGATATCCCTCCACATCAACTCCCTCGAACTCAGGAGGCCTGCACTCATTTCCTCCCACTGATTAAGGCATTAGACATGAGAATCCTAACAGACAACATAGCGTGTATGTACTACATAAATTGACAAGGAGGAGCTAGATCATTCTCCTTCTGTGCAGAAGCAATGAAACTGGTGCATCTCCCACGATGTCACACTATCAGCAGCTTACCTTCCAGACACTCAAAACTCAATAGCAGATAGTCTCAGTTGCAAATTCCTATATGGCCATGAGTGGGAGATAAACACAACGATACCTCATGACCTATTCAGGCAATCGGGAACACCAACCACAGACCTGTTTGCCACTTACCTGAACAAAAAATGTCCATGCTATTGCTCCAGAGCAGGGATGGGGCAATGCTCCCTGGGTGAGGCTCTCCATCTCCCCAGGGCAGGGACCTTTCTATGACTTTCTTCCATTCCCCTTACTGGCAAAGGTCTTACTAAAAACAAAAAGAGAAGGAGCACATATCATATTGATTGCTCCCACTTGGCTGAGACAGAACTGATACAATTACCTTTCACATCTTGCGACATGCCTGCCGATCTCTCTCCAATCCACTCCAGGCTGCCTCTTGCAAAACGAAGGATGCACCCTACATCCCACCTGGGAATTCTTTGCCTCAAGGCGTGACTCCATGGTTTAAACGTATATAGAGCTTCTGCTCGAAGGAGGTATTACTATGCAGTAAAAAGTCCTCAACACACCATACTTACCTACAAAAATGGTCCAGGTTTTGAAATTAGTGTACTTCCCATCAAATCTCCCCAACATCCATCACTCTTCCAAAGAACCTAGACTATGTACTGACTAAAACATTCAGGACTATCTCTCAGTTCCCTCAGGATCCACCTGGCAGCTATAGCAGCTTTTCACCACCAAGTAGAGGGATACTCAGTGCTACCAAACCCGACCACTAAACGATTCCTCAGGGGGTATAATAAACATTTCCCCACAATCCCAACATCTTACCCCCTTGTGGGACCTGAACCTGGTATTGAAACGCCTGATTAGATCTCCCTTCGAACCCATGGCCACCTGCTCTCTTACACACCTTTCAATAAAGATGGCCTTCCAGATAGCAATCACCTCAGCCAGGACAATAGGAGAAATGGCAGCTCTGATGGCACATCCCCCCTACACAATATTTTTTCGGTACTCTTAGACCACATCCAAAATTCATCCCCGTTCCACATGAACCAATTGATTCATCTTCAATCTGCTGGCAGTGCCCTAATTATACAGCCCAAAATGCCATTAGCCTTGGCCACAAGGGCACACGGTTGACTCATATCCAGCTTCTTGTCCACTGTAACCCCTAGGTCCTTTTCTGCAGAACTGCTTCCTAGCCACTCGGTCACTAGCCTGTAGCAGTGCATGGGATTCTTCCATCTTAAGTGCAGGAATTGATTCC